ACAAAAATCGTACAGCGATCGACGCATTAACGTCGCGTATTATTTTTTTTCCGTGCGACAGGTGACACGGCTGGCATTACTTCCGGCATTCTCCGATTCTTTCATCCTTGACAACAATTACCCGGTTCATTGAGAAAGAAATTCTCTTAGTCACATGCGATTAGGTGCAATTGCACTTTGACTCGTTACTCATCGCATTTATTTTAACACCAAACAACTCGTCGTTTCCCCGTATCGCTCTCTCGTTAGGTAAACATCCGTTCACGCACATTTCTGCACTCTCGCGCGGATATTCAGCATCATTAAGCTTCGCAGAACTTCGCGCCAGCTTTTCTCGCTATTTTAAGGGAAGCTGAATTCTTCGATAGGTCCAAGAAAATATTTTGAGGACGCAAAGCACGAGTATTGATTTGATAATTGTACATATTATATATTTTACAAACTCGATTTTTTTATCTTCCGAGTAAGAAGGTTAAATAAATATTGAGAAGAGTGAATGAGACGGATGTCGGAAATGTTGCGGAAAGGTTCGTTAATGAAAAGGTGTAAAGTTTTTGTAATTCGGTTTTATATAGCGGAGACTTTGCAGAGAGAGAGGAAGGAGGTTGGTCTGTGTTCTTCAGGGTTAAGTGGCCCTATAAGAGCTCTCGCGGGTTTTTCGACGGCATCGACCAGTTTCAAAGCAATGAGTCATCGTACCATGCGATACCCGCTCGTTCTACATCCGATTATCCGCGCATATTATACGGGGTGTTTTTTGCCAACTTCACTTCCTTTCAACGACAGATACTATTTGCTACAGTTCGTGGAAGCTATCAACTTGCACTTATACTAAATTGTGGAACTAAACCAACAATTCAGGCGCGACTAATCGTGTATGTTAAAAGTTGTCATTATTTATTTCTGATTTCTCAAACCTTATAAGATATGAATACTGAGATTCTCCTAATTTTACTTATATCCTTTAAATAATTTCTTTATAATATTCTTACCGTTTTAGATTGTCACTTGAGAATTCAGATATTTATAGATTGGTTGCGTAGTGTATCGTTAAAAATGAGTTTGCGTGTGTGATCAGACGCATTCTGTATATGGAAATACGATGCGCATCGCCGAGTGTGATCACGTAACGTATTTAATTTACAAGCTATTTTTACGAAGGAACCTCTCGTGCGCCACGATGTATTTTTAATTACCCTTTCTATGAATACACCGTAATGATCTCCCTCAGGAAATCTCCCGATTCGTCGTCGATATTCGTGTTTCGATCTTATCCGCAATTTCCGGAAAATTAATTTAACGGCAAAGAAGCTTTTAACTTTCGAGAGAAATTACTTCTTCTGCCCCGCACTATCTTCAACCAAGATAGTGCGGTTCGTTTGGAGAAATCATTTGCGGCGAACTTATTTGAATTCAAAGCTTAAGCTTTCCTTAGAATTGTATCTTTAGACGAAAGATTATTTCAATTTTTGAAAGAACATTGGTTGATTAAGCTTATATTATTAAACCACGTGCGTATATAAGGCATTGGAAATGCGAGTAATTTATTTACATTTACTAGAATTTGTATTATATTACGTCCCATTTGAATTTAATTTGTGTTACGTCCCATTCGTGAATTAACAAATTAGGACACGAGGAAATTTGCGTAACAGCGGTTTACGCAAGGTCACGTTGTTACGTTGCCGAATAAATTATATCCTCCGATTTTCTTACGGCGCGTTACGCACTGCTTGATATAGTTCATGAATGCGTCTAGGCTCGCTTCCCAGTCCCGAGATGTAATTCGTTCTTTCAATTCTACGGCATGAATCACCGCCGTTTCCTCTCGCGCGTACTACGACGACGACGACATAACATTCCGGTACAACGGAGGTATTACGACATCCCGTTAACTCTTACAAACGTATAACTGAGTATACCTAGAAACTTAACTACCTCAAAACACACGAAGGTGTGTCGATTTTTTATCTTTTTGAAATTTGATAGGAATATTTAAAGATTTACGAATTTGATCTGATCAGATACGAAACAAAAGTACTTTACGCGAACTCGGGAATTCAATTTTTCAAGAAATTGAGCTTAACATTCTCAAAATTCATGTAAATCATATTTACGCATTTTTGCTGTGTCACATCTTGATGTAAACTGTTCTCTTACTTCGTAAACGATGCAAAATGTTCTAAAAAGGTGAATTTATCACTTAAATCATAAATTGTAATGTGATTTGCACTTTTCTTGGTAACGGCGGCTTGTTATTGACGCACTTCTGCTCGTGCGATTCGATGACGATATAATCAACCGCCTCTCCTCGGTTCATCGAACGTGTTCGCTCTCTTTTATTTGTTCATTTTAACGAGCAGACGACCAATTCTCTTATCGGCTCACGGATTCACACGCATGTGCAATTCGTCGACGAGATATTAGCCCTCTGACCGAGTCGCTGGTGATTTATCGCGTCCGAGCGGCAGATGCTGACCAAACTAAAAAAAAAGGTACAAAGGGAGAGCGATAATTGCCGTCCACGTGCCTGCCATAAACGATCGAGGATTGCTCGATATTAAGATTTAAGGTGTTTGTGTTATAGTAAAAAACAAGATTTTGTTTCTTTGCTAAAACTATTTAGCTATTAACTATTATCGAGTTAATTTTTATTTGTTCTCGAGCCCTAGAAAACGGTGAAAGAATGACAAAAAAATAATAGACTTGGACGGTCGTTGCGTAAGCTGGATAATCTCATATGGTCACGTTTGTCGATTTATTGGACGTCTGGTGATATTCTGTTCGGTAGATAAAAGCGACAGATCAGAGATAAGAGGCGGAGTTGGAGTGGGATAGGTCGTGATACCGAGCGTCGTGATTTGTGATAAAATCGGAAAGAAATTAATTATATATCAATGCTTCCGAATGAAAAAGTAATCGATTAATCATGGCTTCTTGAATAGAGAGAGGATAAATAAAAATTGCGACGTTGCGATTCAAAAGAAAGAGAAATAAAAATTAAAATATTATCGCGTCGTCTGAAAGAATGAGGATAAAATTATTAATAATTCGAAAAAGACTGCGTATTTAAATCAAATTAAGATTATATAATCGTGTCGTTATCGAGTAATTTGCAAAATATCGTTTCGCATTGAATCCTCATTAGTGAATGTCATTTGATATTGATATTCAAAGTTACGAGTTGCAGGTCTTACGTAACGTGCTTTTGCTAAATAACAGCGTCGCGTTTATCGATCGACAATGCTCAAAGGGCTACGTGATCCTCAATTTCATGGCAAATCTCGCTTTTATGTTGGAAATAGACGCTTTTGCACGGGTTTCCATGGAAATGCGGTGCCACACGGTAAACGCGTGTGGGTATTGCGTTCTTATAACGTAGACTTGCTGCAGAATTTATCAAGTCACGTACGTATATCATATCGATTTCTCAGCGATTAAATACTCATTCGATTCAATTGAGGAAAACACTTCGATTGGTACTTTTGATAGATGTAGTTTTTCTTTCTTTTTTTTAAGACACTGGCCACTTTTTTTCGGCATTAAGAATGCGAAATTAATTACGATTAATACGATAATTTATATAGCTGCGCTATAATGACATTGTAGACTGTTATAATTGTATACTGTATAGTAAGGTAGGAAAAACCACCAACTCTAAAATAAGAAAGAAACCATAGGATGAAACGTCACGCGATGGAAAAGAAATTTCTTCTCTTAGTATCTCTTTGCCTTGAGGGTCTCTCTCTAGGATCTATTTTTTTCTTCTTATTGTTAGAGAAAATTCTACCTGAACCTGAACGTTTCCGTGAAGCAAGACGAGTCTGGCAGCTGGTCAGCTCGAAAATGCGTCGTTGCACACCAGGAATGTTCTTTTCAAGACGAAAACAATACGAAGTTTCTCTAGAGAATGTAGACAAATTCGATAGAAAGAACTTCGTGGTTTCTTAACTTCATAATCTCGAAGCGAGACAGTAAAAAAGTCATTTGGTTCGCTCTCGCTCCGTGAGATTTTCCGGAGGGTAACTGTTTTTCCAAAGTCGGATTGCACGCTGCTTCTCGGAACATCCCGAGGATAAAGGGACTTCGTCGCGCGCACGTGACTCGGAAAGGGAAAAGGTCATCCTGCCTCGTGCAGTTCGATCGTTTGCCAAGGCAAACGAGGCCAGTCGCGTTTCGTGAGTGGATACGCAACATCGTGTCATCGTCGTCGTCGTCGTCGTCGTCGTCGTCGTGGTGTTTGGCTTCTAAACGCGTCGGTGTGCGAGGCCTATTCTTCCCGACCTCTCCGGGTACACGCGACGACGCGACAAAAGGAACCCGCCGACATTGAAACGTGCGCGGCAGTCTGTCACGCTTTGTATATCGCGTTTTGCGTTTCCCTCCCGGTGTCGTATCTCGACGTGTCCGCCATTCGACAGTCTCTCTGACCTGCTTAATACTAAAGCAGGTTTTTTTTTTCATAATATTTAAAGTGGTATGTTGTTTTGCATCACGATTTTATATTTTGAAAAGTACGCCGAACGGCGCAACGTTCGGTCAAGACATTTAGACATGGCCCAGTGATCATAGAAATCTCGAACCTACAAAATCTTTTGTGTGTTTAAAATCCTCCTTAAATTCTTATCGTTTCGAAAACTTTCGATAACACAAGTTTTGCATTCCTGAGGACGTAACATCCTGAAGTATTGGAACACCGAATTTTATTTTTTTAAACGCATTATATCGATATCTTTTAACTTGTAATCTTTATATCTTGAAGTTCACGGCGTAGGCAATTTTGGAATTTCGGAGATTTGAGATCGCCCTTTTCTTATTTTATAGTTTGGCCTTCCCTTTTCTTAGCAGCGTGCACTTCTTCAATTTTTGATAAATACAACGAGATTTGATATCGACGCGCGTGTATATATATACGGGAAACATGAAAGAGAACCTTGGCGAACAATCCAAGCTTTGGAATCGGGCCTTCCACTGACGTTGCAACTCTCATCTGATTTCAGCCGACACAATGTCCGTGGATAAGGAGGAATTAGTGCAGCGTGCGAAGCTTGCCGAGCAGGCGGAAAGGTACGACGACATGGCGTCCGCGATGAAGGCGGTCACCGAGACGGGAGTCGAGCTGTCGAACGAGGAGAGGAACCTGCTCTCGGTGGCATACAAGAATGTCGTAGGGGCGAGACGTAGCTCGTGGCGGGTAATCTCCTCCATCGAGCAGAAGACCGAAGGCTCCGAACGCAAACAGCAGATGGCCAAGGAATACCGGGAAAAGGTCGAGAAGGAATTGCGCGAGATCTGCTACGATGTATTGGTAAGTGAATACCCTCGTCGCTTTTTCCTATCCTAAAACCTTGAGCGTACTGAATTCCCTCTTTTCTTTTCGCTTCAGCGAGTTGTGTACGCCTGAAAAGAGCAACGTTAGAAAAACACGTTCGACTCGGCCTTATTTTTAGTAGTGATAAGTTAGCTTTTATCTCTGAAAAAATATATATTGCTGGTTCAATCACAATATTTATCAGGAGAATTTAATTGCTCCATTGATTTATGTAAAGAACTTTTACCGTTATAAGGATGACGCGTATTTATGACGTGTATTTATGCTAATGAATTTAATGTTTACATCTCTGATTATATCTGTTTCTCCGTGAGATACAAATATCTTTATTTCAAAAGAAATAGAGAAGAATTTACATTTCTGCCTCTATATACTCCGATCAGCGTTCTCTCGTTATATCGTACGAATAGCGTATATACGCGCAATTCACGCGTGGTTGCCCGACGGTGGTCAGGCTCATTGTGTCGCCTGGGTATTGATCGAAGTCGCTCTAGACAAGAAAAGCGACGACATGAACGATAAGAGATGAAGCGGGCATTGAAATAT